TCAAGACCAGCCTGACCAACATGGAGAAACCTCGTTTCTACTAAAAATACAAAAATTAGCCAGGCGTGGTGGCGCACGCCTGTAATCCTAGCTACTCGGCAGGCTGAGGTAGGAGAACCACTTGGACCCAGGAGGTGGAGGTTGTGGTGAGCCGAGATTGTGCCACTGCACTCCAGCCTGGGCAATAAGAGTGAAATTCTGTCTTAAAATAAATAAATTAATTAATTCATTAATTAAAAAAAACGAAAAGACTCCCTCCACCTCCTGTTGTGGCTGGGATCTGGCTCCTCCCACTCCAAGGATGTAGCTTTTATAGCAGGGAAGCTTGTTCATCCTCTCACGGCCTGAATTCACTGGTGAAGCAAGAGCTATGGTCAGCATGGCCCTGGCTCCCAGAACTCCTGGCTGGACTGCCCGCCCTTCCCTGCCTCCCTGGCTCCACGCACATTCCTTGCTCAGCCCTGGGCATGTGACACAGGGGCCATGTCTGGGTCTGTCTGAACCACCACGGCACCATCTCCAATCATTCATCCTTTCCACAGACACTGACACTGAGGGCCTGTGCTGGCCCAGCCTGTGCTAGGGGCTGGGGGAAACAGTTGGCAAATAAAACCTGGCTCTTGCTTTCATGGTGTTGACCACCCCATCTTTCTTGCATCAAAAACCCCAGGCCAGGCCAGGCTGGGTGCGGTACGGTGGCTCACACCTGTAATCCCAGCACTTTGGGAGGCCAAGGTGGGCGGATCATTTGAGGTCAGAAGTTCAAGACCAGCCTGACAAACATGGTGAATCCCCATCTCTACTACAAATACCAAAATTAGCTAGATGTGGTGGTGGGCGCCTGTAACCCCAGCTACTCAGGAGGCTGAGGCAGGAGAATCGCTTGAACCTGGGAAGTGGAGATGGCAGTGAGCCGAGATGGTGCCACTGCACTCCAGCCTGGGGGACAGAGTGAGACTCTGTCTCAAAACAAAACAAAACCCAGGCCAGATGTGATGGCTCGTGTCTGTAATCCCAGCACTTTGGAGATACTGAGGCAGAAGGACCACTTGAACCCAGGAGTTCCAGAACAGCCCGGGCAACACAGCGAGACCCCATCTCTAAAAAAAAAAAAAAAAAATTTTTTTTTTAATTAACTGGGTGTAGTGCCATGTACCTGTAGTCCCAGGTGCTTGGGAGGCTGAGGTAGGAGGATCACTTGAGACCCGGAGTTGGAGGCTACAATGAACTATGATTTCACCACTACACTCCAGCCTGGGCAACAGAGTGAGACTTTGTCTCTTTAAAAACAGAAAAAAAAGGCCAGGCGTGGTGGCTCAAGCCTGTAATCCCAGCACTTTGGGAGGCCAAGACAGGCAGATCATGAGGTCAGGAGATCGAGACCATCCTGGCTAACATGGTAAAACCCCATCTCTACTAAAAATACAAAAAACTAGCCGGGCGC